AAGCACCTATGCACCACAGACAAATTCCTCGCTAGTGTAAAACTTAACCTGGCAATAGCAATAAATCTGATTCTGATCTGATTCTTAAAGCCACAACTGTGAACTGGTGGTAATAGAGGAAGGCTCAGTAGGCTCAATTCTCTGGGAACCATGAATGGACCTCTGCCAGTCTATCAAGTAGATTTTTCACAGGATAAGTGAATACTATGACCTGGTGGTTGTGCTATAGGTTAAGGCACATTACATTAAAGTCATTAGGATATATCTTCCTCTGTGGCCCATGAATGCCTGTCCAAAATGTTATTGCAATCAATTCAATAGCTGTTGAGATATTTCAGTGTGAACCAAAGTGGTGGACCAAATGACTTTCAGACACTGCCACCAATAGATCCACGCTACTAGCATGAATGTATTATTTTATTTAAGAAAAGGTTAAGTTGATTTCCTAATGCTGGGAGTTAATAGGTTCTAAATGTCAAATGTTAAGATGGAGTGTGGGAGTCTTTCCACACTTGCCCTCCCTCCAACTGGTGCACCAACTGTCAATTACAGTTGTTCATTAACGTATGGAGTAAATATTGCATTTGTTTGGGGACTAAAAGCTGATTTCGTGAGTTTTAAATAAACTACGGAACTACTACTAATATTAGTTTTTAAGTCTTTGGACAACAATAAGATCTAAAGCACAGAGGAACAAGACATTTCAGGCTTGGCTACACAGATATTCTCATTAGGATCAATTCATTGTTGGTTTTGGTCTTTTCAGGAGATTATCACCATATCATATAAGAGAACCGTTAATTTGAATATGATCACTTAGATTATGATCTTGCTATGATAAACTGGGTCATTCACGTGACAATTGTGATAATCAGAATACTGACTTTATCAGATTGTAGTGTTGTTATTGTCATTCATATACACACTAATGATGTGTATAAGACCATGGTTTTGGAATACAGACTGTTTTAACTTGAGGGTATTTTCACCAACAGGTAAAATTCTGAAGATGTCAGAAATATTTTGATACATTTAACTGCAACTTTAGTGGCTCTGTGTCACCCAAACGGATAAGAAAAAAACAGTTTTGTTTGTAGGCTACACTTTTTGATTTGGTTTAGTGTGTTTTAGTGTTTGTAGTGATTCAAGTTGATTTTCTCTAAATGAGGTGACAGTGGTTTATGAACAGACTTTTACAGGCATAATCCGCCCTCTTTTTATAGCAGACAATATTTATCAGCTCCACACAAGCCTTCACTTTTATGGCCTCCTGTGACCTTTGCCCCTCTCACTATGAAAGCTTTCCCTCACCTCTCTGCTTTGAACAAAAAGTCTTTAGAACAAATCAGTAATGTAAAAGGCAGAATATCAGTTGTACTGATTCCACTTTCAACACATATGTTTTTCTGTTTGTTGCCAGTCTACAAGTCCTGACTGCAATTAATCTGCTATTGTCAAACCAACAAAGAGAATGTGTTTTATTCTTACACTTTCTTCAGGTTATTACGGACACACTGGTCTCTTTAGAAAAGGAGAGTTGGGAAGAATCTTTGATGTTATTCAGACAGGAAGTGTAAAGTGGAGGCAGGCCTGAACTTCATGTTTACAAACGGGATGAATTACGATCTCAGTAAGGTTCTAAGCGTCAGTCCAGATGGAGTGTGGGAGTCTTTCAGCACTTGCCCTCCCTCCACCTGTGCACTGACTGTCACTTGACAGTTGTTCATTAACAGGACAGGTAGATCAGCCAGTACCAAGGCGGAGGATTATTGATCTAAGGCTTACACTAGGGAAACAACTGGTGTGAAGATTTCTTGTCTTTAGTTCACTTTTTATTTTCTTCTTTTATCTGGATGCTGGACAGCGAATATAGAGACAAAGTGACTTTTGCTTAGTCACTGAAGAGCACTTCACTTCTGTTTTTGAACTCATGCTGTCAATGGAGAGGATCTGTTCAGGTGGATGAATGTAAAAACTTGCCTTCAGCGTTCTGTTTAAGTTATATATTGTCATTGACATGTAGAAACTGTGAAAAAAGACAATATTCTGAGGGAAAAAGGAAAATCTCAAGGATCAAGATGTACAACTTACACAGTTTACTTTGCCTGGGAGTGCTGATAATGATGGTGGTCGCAAACAAGATGCTGGATGACTGTTTGGAAGTAAGGCGTAAATATACCATGAACGTTGTGCTGCTGGAGGACAACACTTATAAGTGGAGTATGCCGTTTGTGAAGGCAGCTGTGGAACGAGCCATTGCAGAGGACAGTCTGGAGAACAATGGTATGAACAGGTAGTTGCTTAATAAGGCTGAATGGACCTTACAATTAATAATTATTTTATATAATCTATAAATCTATAATTTCAGATCATTTATAAATTATTGCATATTGCTTTACAGCAGCCAATAAAAACACAGTTTAAAAGTGGTAAAAACCTAAAACTAAGATAATAATAATAAAAAAAGAACTTAATAATGAATCCTGGCTTTCAGGGCCAGTGTAAATCTTAATTAAATAATAGAGCTGGACATCAGCAAAGGTTTTTTAAATAGCTGAAAGTCAAGTTATAGCAGCTTCTAGAAACCATTAAAACAGATAACTAGTATGAACTAGTTTCTCTGCATCCTGTTGAGCAAGAAGAGGTTTGACCTCACTAGTTGTCTAAATTATAAAAGAATGTTGCGGTAAAATTAAATAGTAATAAGTTGTAAATGACAGTTGTAAATGTGATTTAAAATCACAAATCAGCCCAAGGTTTTTTTTTCTTTTAAAGAAAATTAGATATTCTTTGGACTTGGCTTATGCAACCAGTTTAACAGGGGTGTTTCTAGAATATTTAGAATATGGGGCATAGGCAAGGACATAGGGCCGGGTCACCTTTTAAATATAATTATGTTATTATATAGTGCTTATATGATACCTGATGTTGGTGCCAACACTAATACCTTTTTTCTTACAGAACTTTGAGAGATAAAAACACATTTTTCTACAAAATCCCTTTAGCCATTTTCACATGCCTAAACAAAAGACACCAGACCATGAAAGAATGTTAATGCTCAGCTAAATAAAATTGTCTAAAACTGGAAACATTTTGATTTCAACTTTCTGACTAAAGAACAAGTAAAAAAAAAAGCATGGTTCTGATCAGACATTCAATGAGTGAGTACATCGCCGCTTTTGATACTCAGTACTATGGACACATCATGGTTGGTACTTTGGTTTGATACCTAACCCTCCAGGTGCATAGAGGAAACATTTGGTTATGTACTGTATAATGATTGCTCTTGTCTCTACTATGTGAAGAGAAAACAGCTGTCCTAACTATGAACAAACCATAGGATGGTTGGATGTATTGGTGGTTGACTAGTTTAAAATATACAACATGTAAAAAGGACAGTTTTGGAGATGTTGAAATGCATATTTTTGCTCAGTTTGTAAACCGTGCTGGTAGCGAGCAGCAGTAGACCTTTGGCTTTATACAATAAGAAACAAGCTATATCTATATTTCACGTCATAACAATTAATTTGATATACCTACTGTTGACATATATAGAAAATGTGCTATCAATTGTTTGTTTCTCTGTGATCATTCACTTGGTATGCACGCCAGAGTAGCCCAACAACTAACTGCTGTCAACACTTATAACACTACTTCCCCTAGATCATGTCCAAATAGTATACAAATGATACAAATAGTAAATGTTATAGATGAGTGCAGGTTCTTCCGTAAAGATTTGTAAACCAAGAGTAGGCCTAACGATTTACACAAGGCTCTTTCCTTTTCCCAGCTGACCACAGGGGGGCTCAATAGGATACAGCCTAAAACAGCATAAACCAGTGGTCCTGACCAACCTATCCACCAACCATATACTCTAGCTTCACTCACCTTTATACCCCCTTAGATATATCTTTAGTTCAATTAAGATGACTACTTTTACTGTCTTAATTTTGTCAGAGGCAAGTCATCTTGGTACCAAATTAAAGTCTTTGTAATATTAATTCTTTGTGTGTGTTTTTTTTTTGCTGTTGTAAATATTTAAAGTTTTTAATTTCTCTGCAGGAGAAATCAAAGGTTACATTTACACCAGTGGGCGATAAATCAATCTAATCTAATCTAATCTAATCTTAACAGCCCAAAGATATTACTGAGTTATTTTTTTATGTTAATAATTATTATCTTCTTTCTATGACCCAAGTTTTAGGCTTCAACCTGACAGCTAACTACAATGAGTTCACTACCAATGCGTACAAACGGCAGGGCTGTGGGAGCAGCACCTGTGAGGGAGTGGCAATACTCAAGAGGCTGCATGTGAGTATGGTCATTTTAGTGCAAGGTCAAATTAATCAAATGTGGCATGGTAAAAATGCTTTAGGTGACGAGATACAGAGATATCTCAGGCACCACTGACATACCCGAACTTTCTGATGTGAGAGCAAGAAACCAGAACCTGAATCTTCATTCCTGTGTTTACCTGTTATCTTTATCCCCCTTTATCACTTCCAAAATGTGTAAGAAAATATTTTGAGCTTCTGTTAATAGTGATAAAATCTAAGGAATTCAACTTTTATGTGTTAAGACTGGATGCTATGGCTCAGTGTACAATAATAACAAGTTCCGCCTTTTGTAGTCTGATCCCTTGATTACCCTTCAGCTGGCACAGTTCCATGTCAATTGCTTCATGACAGGATGATTGCCGTGGCTCACTTGACTTTAAAAAGTCAGTGCCTCCTTGCCAATGTTCAACCACTTCTTTGCAGATTTACTATTTTGCACCAACAATATTTTCATTGCAGGGGTTGCCATTGTAGTAGTAGGAGGCCAAGATGCAAATATCAATGCAGCCACGGCATGCTGTGTGTTGAACTTATAGGTGTGACTCTTGTTTATCCTTGATAAAACAAACGCTTCTATTGCTCCAGCTTTCTACACCACAGCTGAAAGCAACCGGTTGCAGGCGACAGGAAATGCATTCTCAGAAATGTAGTACATCACAAACCAAAGTAGAACTAGAAAAGAGGTTATGGGAAATGGTTAACTGCAGCACTTAAAAATGAAATGACTGCATTAAGGCACTGGAATCACAGAGCGGTAATTATTGTAAAAATCTGACCATACATGTACTGTATCTTTCTGCAGAATAAGGGTGAAATTGGATGTGTCATGCTGGGGCCTTCCTGCACTTATGCCACCTTTCAGTTAGTGGAGTGAGTATGACGCTGTTTGTCTTTAATAATATACCACTAAATAAATGACTTTGCTGACAAATGATTTTTGACTTTTCCCCGTTATCTGCCTCAGTGAAGAAATTGGCCTGAACCTGAGCATTCCAATCATCTCTGCTGGGAGCTTCGGCCTTTCGTGTGACTATAAACCCAAACTGACCCGAATTCTGCCTCCAGCACGCAAGATCTCAGACTTACTATTCCACTTTATGGATGAAACCTTGCCATTTAAGCAGCATTGGGAGTATGTCTATGTCTACAAGAAGTCCAGCAACATAACTGAGGACTGCTTCTGGTGAGACAGCACAGGCTGCAGTTAACCCTAATGACCTCTGTAGCTTCATTCATTGCCACAGCATGTGCCACTTTTCCTGTTTTATTGCCTTGTTTTTGCGACAGGTACATCAACGCATTGGAAGCAGCCTCTGCCAACTTTGCCTCAAAGACTGAGAGACAGATGCTGCGTGGGGAGGACGAGTTGAAGTCTGCCCTCAACTCTAAGAAAAGACACAGCAACAGTGGGTATTTTTTTTAGTTACATCTCAGTACTTAAAACATTACTTCTTTGGCTGTCATTCTTCCAACAAAAGCATTATCTAATATTTACACTAAAGATGAACAAACTATCTATTTAGAACAGTCACAACAACAGCGTTGATGCAGTATATGTGAAAAAATATCAGAATTGAAAATGCTGAGGGGCTAGTGGGAGGATGTAAAGTACAAAAAATTTACTTTTTAAAATCACATTAGGCATGGTTCCTAAAGGGAAAGTCCTAATGACTTCCCCTTTAGTGCAACCACAAGGTTTAGATTTGTGGTTTAAGTAAAATGTCTCAACAACCTTTGGATGGATTGCCATATAATTTAGTTCAGACATAAATATCCCACTCAGGAATACATTTTAATCTCTTTGGTTGTCCCTTAAATGTACAATACAGTTCAAACTTTTCCCCTTCTGTTCTACTGAAACTGATTTATTTATTTCAGTTTTCATCCTATGCGGGAACCCTGGTGACATTGTTTCAATAAAGAGTATGGCGGGCCCGATTCATGAGGACATCATGTTCATTCTTATCGATATTTACAAGTAAGCTTGTCTATGATTTTACCATTTAGCCAATAAACTTTAACAAGATTTTATGAGTCTTTTTAGTGGGAAATCACAATATACTGTAAACCCTGAGATGCGAAACTTTGAATGTGTAGAAGTAACCCTTTACCTTCCTCCAGTACTGACTATTATGTCAACACAACATCCGCTGAGGGAATGAAGGACGTACTGGTGATCACTCTGCCACCAAGGAACTATGACTATGGAAACACAACATACAATAACACGGTGGGCAGCAACTTAAACACCCAAACAAGGCTGTGTTGGGAAACGGTTCTTGTAGATCTACTTGACTCCTAACTTTCTATCTATCTATGTGGGCAGATAAACGACTATGTGGCTGGATATCATGATGGAGCGCTGCTGTTTGGAAAAGTACTCAGAGAGAGGAAGCTAAGTCAGGGACGCAACAAGGAATATGTGCCTCTGAGTGACAACCCATTTGGAAACGTCTCCTTTTATGGTGCGTATGATCAGTGACAGCTCAAGGTTAGCAACACAAGTGGCAGAATTACAATGCAAAAGACATTTAATGAACACCAACCAGACCCAGAGATCACAAGGTGTTATAGGTGATGGACCCAGTGAAGGACTGCTTGATGAAACTGTTCTTTTAGCCTATACTCTAGCACAAATGTTACAGGTTAGAGCAATGACCTGTTTAACCACAGCTGAATTATTTTGTTCTTAGTTGGTGGTTTTGTACAATGTAGCACAAAAAATACAAATTGTAAATGTAGATCTGTAGATTACAGTTGTGTCCTCTCCTCCAAGGAAACATTGGCCCCAGTCCAGTTCAGCATTAAATGAAAATCAGTTTAGAGAGAGTCCCATTACAGTGAACATTTGCAATTCAGTTTTTAGTAAGTTTTCAAGCAAAAATACCAAACATTTGATGGTGCCAGCTATTAAGATGTAAGGATTTGCAGCTTTTTGTCTTGTCTTACGTTATGGTAAAGTAAACACCATGGACTGTTTGTCAGACATAAAAAGGTATTTGTTTCTGAATAAATAATTAAGTTAAATTAAGTTTTTTTAACTTGGGCTTTTTCATAATTTTCAAATCCAAAGCAAAGTCATAAAGGCATTATATTATATCATCATATGTGCAGCTTTTTTTGACTAATTCTACAATAAACACATTGCAGCTCATCCAATTTAAATGCAATTAAATTGTAATTATTGCATCCAAGAGAAATTGAAAATGCTCTCTTTGTTGTGTGTGTGTTTGCCTCAAGCAGGTATGGGAGGACACTATGTGCTTGATAAGTACGGTGACAGAGATGTTAACTTCTCTATATTTTACACATCAACCATCACTGGCGAGGTGAGACTACCGTCCTATTCAGCAGTTTAGCCCGGTCTAGGAATGGAATGTTTTTTTTTATCCTTTGTTTCTGTCTCTCTCCAGTACGAAACCCTGGTAGTGTTCGACACATCACAAAACAAAACCATAATGGTAGCCGAAAATCCCGCCCTGCCCTGGAAAGGGGGTCTGCCTACTGACGTGCCAAATTATTCAGGTGGTAATACTCACATACATGCTGATGGTGTAGAGGTAGTGTGGACAGTGATGTGGTGCTTCACTGTAGACTGATTACTGTTAACACCATAGAGCACAGTTTCTGTCTGGTCTGTGACTGTAGTTTTAAGTCTCATGACCTCACGGAGTAGTTTTTGTATGTTTGAGATTTTAAGCAGGCCCATGTGGAGTCCTTACCACAGGGTGCACAAATATCATTAGAGTCTGATGTTATTATTTAGAAATAAAGTGTGATTTCTTTATGTCAAGTAAGGGTACAAATACGTCTTTGTTAATTCCCTCTGGGTGTGTCTTCCAGCCCTGAGTACGCAGGATGTGATTGTCATCGTTCTGAGTCTCAGTGTCATCGTGGTGACAGCCATCGCTCTCATCTTCTACAGGTAAACAGCAGACACATTTCACAGCTGTATCACAAGAACTACGAGTAAGGCTGTGTATTGGAAAGAATCAGGCAATACGATATGTATCACGATACAGGGGTTATGATTTAAAATGTTGCGATATATTGAGATTAAAAAAATATCAAATTTTAGGAAAACTGTAAATAAAACACCACCACATGCATAAATAAAAAAACAGTTTTATGCAAAAAACTATTTTAGGCCACCAGAACAGTTGGATCTGCTTTTGTATTTATCATAATCTCTGTAACATCCATCATAGCCCTCAGTTTACATTTACAACACTGCTATCTAGCTGTAGGGGGTTTAAACACAAAAATCAATACAGTATTTTGAGAATCAATACAATATCACAAAACAAAATATTGTGATACTCAAGTGTATCTGTATTTTCTTATTCCTCCAGCTATGTGTAAAATGTGTAAAATGAGTGCTAGAATACTGTCAGTGAAAAAATTGTGGTTTTAATCGACGTTCAGGAAAAAAGACAATGAGAATCAGCTTTTCCTCCATGTTTACGTTTGGTCAGCATGCCAGATAAAGCTGTAATGTAATTCTTTATCCCACATATCCCTTGTTCATGTTATGGATGTGTCGGGCTCTACGACGTAGG